AATATAACTGAATCATTGTTAACAAGACATTATATTCTCCTCCCTAACATTGACAATATAACTGAATCATTGTTAACAAGACATTATATTCTCCTCCCTAACATTGACAATATATCTGAATCATTGTTAACAAGACATTATATTGTCCTCCCTAACATTGACAATATATCTGAATCAATGTTAACAAGACATTATATTCTATTCCTACCCGGGGGGTTGGATGGCCGAATGGTTAACATGTGTGCGCTGTATCATGCGGCCTGTCATTTAGTCAACTGGCGTGGTTTCGAATCCCCGGTTGTACGTGACAAGGAGTAGGGTTGCCTGTCCAACCTTGTGGGGTTTCTCTGGGGCCTCCCACTGCTAAAGACCCCTACGCGCAAGTGAATTATTGAAATAAAATTAAACCATATGTTAGTCCCGAAATGACCTACATGTAGTTTGCGTCGAGTGGACGTTAAACCCTCTCTCTCTCTCTCTTTCTCTCTCTCTCTCTCTATTCCTACCCTGATTTTTCTACATGCCTATATTATTGATTTATAATTGTTTTAAATTATTCTTTTTCAGGAAATAAAATATAATTTAAACCCAAACAGATCTAGACTACGTAGTCGCTCCGTATCCCAGTCATCAACAGATAGTAACGATAGCAGTAAGTAATATTTTAAATTTTAAATCTCTAATCGTTAATCCCTTCCAAACTATAATATTATGAAATCTGAATCTATAAAATTACTATCAGTCCGAAAAAAAGGTTCAGTTCTCTTCAACATTTACACAGATATGATGTATTGATAAATGCAACATTTGGCAACATTTCACTTGGGACCAGGGTATCATTCAGATTTAACGTAAAAAGGAAAAAAAAATAAGCTTTACATCTAGAATCTAATACACGTATCCAGTTAATAGATTGTCAAGATTCATCAAAATACACCCAGTTTCTGCTACAGTGTTGTTTAAGAAACACTGTTCAGTTTTGATATTGGTCGTCTAGTTTATGATCATTAAGTTTAGTTCTGACATTGATCGTCTAGTTTATGACCATTTAGTTTCATAAACTAGACGACCAATGTTAAAACTAAACGATGTTTCTTAAACTACATGGTAGCAGAAACTGGGTGTTTTTTTATGAATCTTGATGGCATTTAACACTTTTAGGACAGCAATCTATTAACTGGATACGTGTATTAGATTCTAGATGGGAAGCTCAGTTTCTTTCCCTTTTCGTCAAATCTGAATGATACCTGGTCCCTAGTGTTTGCAGACAAAATAAACCAGATATTGTCACCTTTAATTATTGGGTAAATAGAGAATCTCCTACCAGTCTTTTTTGATATCAAAAAATATCAACACAAGTTGATAAAGTAACAAAAAACCAGGCTCTGCCGAGTCTTTTTTACTTTATCAACGAGTGTTGATATTTTTTGATATCAAAAAAGACGAGTTGGAGACTTTATTTATCACCCAATCCCTTCTTACATGCACAAATAGATAAATATAATTCTTTGCTGAAGACAGCAATTCAACCATTACAAAGTCCTTTATATTGACCCAGTGTTTCCATCAAGGTCAGTTGAATAACAATAGTTCATTTTTAATTTAAAAAAAGTTATTTTTAATAAGAAATGAACTGTTCTTTGAAAATAAAAAAAAGTAATTCCTTTTCAACTGACCAATCAAATTCATGTAAAGCGATATCTCCTAAGGAGATATCGCAGTAGATTATGAAATATATCACACAAGCGATATCTACTGTAGAATGTATTATTGGGTGATAAAATTTGTTAATAGGACTCTTTGTTTTCTTAAAATCCTGATGCATCATTCAGCGTTACAGAAATCCCTTGTAAACTATAACATTATGAAAGTTTAATTTCTAACAGAAATATTGGTCAAAAAATGATTCAAATCCATTCAGTATTTACAATCTATGCCGCTCGACCATAACACGGCACCACCATCAGTATTTACAAAGTTAATTTAAATTTAAATTTTATCAATGTAGGCTGCTCGAGTGTAACAAGACACTGCCATCTTTTATTGGTAGCTGTGAAACCTGATTGACCTAGTTTAAAACTTTGATCTAATTCAAGTCCGGAAGATTATCTAGCGTTGATATTTTTATTTTGTTTTCATAATTAAATGTTAAATGATCAAATGAATACATATTTAGTGTGTATTAAGCCGTGAGCAATTTGATATTTTAGGGAAAATGTCAACACGCATCAAGACTTTATTAATTAATCAATTTGACTATCTTTTAAAGGGGAGTACATTGTGAAAAATGAGATATTGTCCGAAAAAATCATAATCAGGACCCGCGACTTTAAAATAATTTATTTTATACTGGTATAACAAACTGTTCATGCATGATGTTTGATTGTTAAATAACAGCGTGGCAACCAAACAATGTTCATGTCTGCTCCTTGGATTACTATAATAAACAATGTTATTAAAATATTAAAAGGATCTAAAAGGTTCAATTCAAGGAATTTGAAGACGTTATCATATTATAAAAAGACAAGCCTATATATATATATGAGATCTTTTGTGAAAGGAAAATAAGTGTTAGATACGATGCTTGGGTTAAAACGACAAATGGATATTGGTTATTAAATAATAAAGTATGTTTGTCATTAATAATGACGTCATTGTATTAATCATATTAAACATACATTATGACGTCACATTAATAATGACGTCATTGTATTAATCATATTAAACATACATTATGACGTCACATTAATAATAACGTCATTGTATTAATCATAATACATACATTATGCAAGAGCTAAATCTGCCTATTGCAGGTCTTTCTTTAGGCCTGAAATGTTTTCTAAAGTATTAATTAGACATTAATTAACTGATCCAGGCCTTAATCAACTCTTGATGGCATCAGATTTCTCTGATATTAAATAGATTAGAATGGTTCAGCGATACTTTGATTTAATCAAATATGGAGGACCGAGACTTAGCTTCGATCAACCAGAACGGTGGTTGAAATTATTGCACACATCTATCAAACCTTCAAAGGCTAATATCTTCGCTTGCAATAGAGTAATTTGAATGAAATTTTCAAATTATTCATTTTACATCATCTACTTTCGAACTAGTATAGCAAGAATGGCTAGTTCTTTATCTAAATCTTACATAATGTATTTTTAATATTAAATACATTTTTTGGACGGATATCCCTTGTCGAGATTCAACTTTCACTTTAGTTTAGTTTGCTGAGGGTTAACAATCCCGCAAATGACTTTCATTTATTTTATCACAATTTTCATAGACACTAATCCTTTATCTATAAAACCATGGATACTCTTACAATACAAGGGACATAACTCTATTTTGAAAATCAATGGATTCAGACCACATTTGATAATACCAGCATGTTAGTCTGATTTGTTTATACTTTTGTCCCATAATTTCAGTCAAAGTATTTAATTTTTTCCAAGCATTTCAACACTTAAATTATGATTAAAACGTGGCATAAAGTTAAAAAGAACATGGGAGGCTACTACAATAGTATTCTATGTACATTTGTCTAACCATCAGCAACCATTATAGGGGAAATAACTCCATATAATAGTTATATCAATTTGAATGGTGTCAGACTACTAATTTTGCACTATTTACACTAATGTTAGTTCCATTGTTCTTTGACTTACCGTATATTAAAGGAGAAGACCAACGATTTTCAACAAGATTTCAATAAATCTTAAATATATATTCAGAAATAATCCCCTATGTAAAACAAGCAAAAATGTTTTTGTAAGCAAGAAATTAATTTTGATTAAAAATTTGAAAGAGCCCAAACAATCGCAATTTTCAAATGAATATCTTGAAGGAGATAATCAGCTCCGTTGTTTTTGCTATGCACAGTGAAATGATCTCATTGTAGAAATATTTCTTTGCTAGAGAATTTCCCAAATGGGCGTCTCTTTAATAATAGAATATGTTAACCCTTAACCGGTCGACGTCAAGTGGTCAGGCTAAATAAAGGCTGACGTGAAATATTTTGTATGCCTATTTCAATCGACTACTGCCGAATAATTATAAATTGTGTAGACTCTTGTCACAAATAAAAAAGTTGCTGGGGATAAGTTGATCTATAATTTGCAAATCATTCTAAATCCTTTTCATCAGAAATATCGTCTTCAGAATCGGTGTCATCAATATAATCCGATTCGGAATAATTCATAAGTATTTCAACCACTTCGAGCATCTTTAACGTTCCCGACACTGTTAAATTACGTTTTTCGTCAAAAAATGTTGAACAAAGACATGTTTTTCTCAATGCCCTTGACAAGACATGTTCCTGCCTGACACGCATGCGTGGCCATCAATTAAATACGAAACTAAATACTCAAATGCGGCTTATAAAAAAGGTTCTTGCTGTGGTCGACTTTAGTCGACCGTGACCACTTAGCTGTATAACGTTGTGGTGACTATAGTCGACAATGACCGGTTAAGGGTTATTACAAGTCTTTGGATTAAAAATGGACAATTAGACTCATGATTTATCAACAACTTGCATTATATTTGTGGATGATTAACTTCTGGAATAATTAGTAGTCTTAATCCGCATATGAAGCAGTGTCAGTCAACAGTTGTCCTACTGACAAACTGTACCCTATAGTCAGTAAATGTCAAACTCAAATCATCTCATATTTTGTAAAATAATAAAACTTAGCAGAGATGTAAATTCAACAACTTGGCTTTATTTATTTTATAGAGGGGAGACAACTGTTGTTAGCTTACTGTCTAGTGTGTGTGTATTATATTTAATACAATATGTCAACTATAATATTATTATGTTAAATGTTTTTGTACAGAGATGTGTGAAATAATAAGAGACTGGTATTTTAGACATGTTTTTTCAATCTACCAAATGTGACTTTTAAAATTTTAAATTTAGAAGTGGAGGTACATATGACCATCTCTCTCTCTCTGCCTCTCTCTCTCTCTCTCTCAATGAAAGAATTTATAAGACTGACCTGCTGTATTAAAGTCTTGATATGAGTGTATTTCTTCTCTATATTCTGAAAATATAATAATATTTCGTATTTTAAATGTCATCAGTATGTCCGGAATATTAAAATATTTATTTCCTCAATATTGACAAGCCTAAATACAACCAATCAGTATGTGGTATATACTTGTTGCCAAAAGCAAGATGGCTAATGAGATACTTCCAAGTCGTAGACAGTTTAAACAAGTATTCTGATGAGACTTTAGCTGAAACAATATTATTATTATTATTGTTCAATTTATATAGCGCATTCACAAAAAAACAGTTCAAAAACATTTTTTAAATTAATGTGTTTTTAAGTTAGTCTTAACGCTGTCGATGAAAGAGGACTCTTGAAGGGTTTTTTGAAAGATCATTCCACATATTCCACTGAATTTTCACTGGTCTCTAAAATTTTCATATACAACTTACCAGTACCAGAATCAGCAGGCGCCTGTTGCACTGAGCCACTCTAGCTATTGAAAGTTTACTATATAAGTTTATACTATACTGTTATATGAGAATTAAGATCATATTTTTTGAGAAGAAACAATAAAAAATTGCCGAAACACATAGCCATACTTCTAAGCACTTTTGAACTTACATTATATGTTTTATCTCTATAGTGACACTGGGTATTGAGTAGAAAACCTGCCATTAAAACTTAAAAATAAACACGCGATTCGTGTGCCAATTTTAAAATGTTCATTTTATCCTAAATATTGGATATCAGACGCCCATCTTTTCACGGTAACATCAATGTTGATTTGAGTTGACCAATAAGTCGTGTTTGCAATGTCGAAAACTGTGGATGATATTGGGTTGATTTATTATATAATGTCAGAGACCATGATAATACTTTACACCATGGACTACATCGAATATATTGTTGGTGGTTTACATATTCATGACTCTACTTAACACAAGTTATAGACATTATTTTATTGTGTGTGGTTCTTTTCAAGTTATAGACATATTTACATTATTTTATTGTCTGTGGTTTGTTAATATGTCTGACGATTACCATTTTATGTTTAACATGATGTCAGACATTAAATCAACACGTTTTATTTAACGATAGAAAGTTGGTTTTATTTATTTTTATTGATGTCTGGAGATTGTGTAATATAATGGAGATTGGTTTTTTTATTCACGTAACCTTGATGGACAACATTTCTTTGATATCGAGTCAAAAAAACATAACGATTGATATATGATTGAATTTTATGTTGATTTTGTTTTGAGAATGCGAAAGAAATGATAAAAAATAGGGTTTAAAGTCCTTTGATTCTGGGAGCCACGGTGGTGAAGTGGGTAGGACGCTGACTGGCTATTGTATATGCCCGTCTTCATTATCCCAGTCGGAGCAGAACAGTAGGATGTTAAACCCCATTTCATTTCATTTCCCTCTGTTCTGCACCGACTAAGACAAAAGAAAAAAATGGGGTTTAATGTTAACTCGACACAAACTAGATCATTTCGGGACTAACATGTGGTTCAAGTTTATTTAGTTGTGGGTGGAAACTGGAGAAAATTCCCCAGGTGGGACACTCTACCGCACACCTCGTTCACTTTCTTCAGGTCCTTAGATTTCCTTCCACTGGTAAAAAAAACCCTACGCAGCAGCGCTACGGTCTACTCTTATTTCAAATTCCAACTGTCAAGGATTCTTTTACATGTAGGCCTACACCAATGTGTACCTGGACCTCTGTTTTTTTCCCCATCCGAACGACTATACAATTGGCATAAGCGAATTATTGAAATAAACCTGTTAGTCCCGGAATGACCTAGTTTGTGTCAAATGGGCGTTAAACCCCATTCCTCTCTTTTTCTCTAGCAGAAAACACTGTAACCCAGGTATAATTTAATCTTGTGTATCTAGCACGAATGATACCCGTGTTACTGTGAAAAGAGCACATTAAGCCCTAATAAATTTCATTTTCCCCAAATATTCAAGCGGTTTAGCAATGTTTGAATGTGTCTGTATATCCACACATAGTTATATTTGTTATTTGATATCTGGTGATTGTATAATATACTGATATATCCTACATAATTACCATGTAATACCTGTTAAATCACGTTTACATTCCTCACGTTGATACAATATTCAATACCTTTTATACAATATAATTACTATTAATCTTTTTACCAACAACCATGTTAAATACAAACACACACAGTGTTCTCTTATATTAAAAACCTGTGATCGTACCAGTATTCTTTTTACGAACAGCCACATTAAAATACAGAGACACACACTGTGTTGTTGTCTTCTCGTATATTGAAAACCTGTGATCGTACCAGTAATCTTTTTACGAACAGCTAAGTTAAATACAGACACACGCTGTGTTGTTGTCTTCTCTTATATTGATAACATGTGATTACCCCTTGTAACATGGAGTTTAATGTCCTGTCGACATAGACTATATCATCTCGGGACTAACATATGGTTCAATAAATCTCTTTCAAATGGGGGTCTTATCTGTTGGGAAGAAAGCGGAAGGACCCAGAGAAAAACCATTAGGTTGGACAGGCAAACCTACTTCTTTAAACATTGAAGAATTACAAATTTCTGATGCAAAAGTACAACAAATTTAGCAATAATAACTGCTCAACTGAGAAGGGGTATCATCGGTAAGCATACTGTCTCATGTACAACACTTATCAATAGTTCAATACTATATATCTACACTAGGTGGTACCAGATGTTCTAGATAGAGTAATCATACCCTGTATCATATACAACATATATCAATACTATCTAGTATTAGGTGGTATCAGGTGTTCTAGAAAGCATACACTGTCTCATGTACAACATCTATCAATACTATCTAGACTAGGTGGTATCAGATGTTCTAACATACCCTGTCTCATGTACAACATCTATCAATACTATATATCTAGACTAGGTGGTATCAGATGTTCTAGATATAGTAAGCCACTATTTTAGCTGAACTAAACTGTATCCTAGGATACAGTGTTCTAGATAGAGTAAGCATACCCTGCCTCATGTACAACATCTATCTATACTATATATCTACACTAGGTGGTATCAGATGTTCTAGATAGAGTAAGCATACCCTGTCTCATGTACAACATCTATCAATACTATATATCTAGACTAGGTGGTATCAGGTGTTCTAGATAGAGTAAGCATACCCTGTCTCATGAACAAAATCTATCTATACTATATATCTAGACTAGGTGGTATCAGATGTTCTAGATAGGGTAAGTATAATCTCTTCTAGTATTAAACTTCCGCGTCTGTCTTCAATCTCTTGAGCTCCTCTTGAGAACAGACACTAAGCTAATTTACCGACATTTTAATTCCCAAATCGACGAGTTTAGTCAAAAACATTAAGTATACTTCGAGAAGTTTGAGATTAATTTTTTTGCTTCCATTTAATAAATTTAAAAATGTTGATTTAGTCTTAGTGGGCATGAACGATGTGAAACAGATTAGAACCGCATTACAAAAAGATATACAAAATTTTGGATATGGTGACCAAGTAGATAGTTCTCTGTTTGCTAAATGCATACCCTTCCTCATGTACCACACCTGTCATTCATTACAAATCAATATACCGGTACAAAATTTTGGATACGGTGGCCAAGTAGATAGTTTCTGTATGCAGAATGCATACCCTTCCTCACGTACTATATCCTCAATATCCAACTATCAGGGTATATTAAACGTGTTGCCTGCTGTATTCATGGGTTCTCATTGAATTCACATGCTAGACGATTATTATGTCATGTGTTATAAATAAAATTTATTTAAAATATTTTAGTTTCAACATAGATGTGACAGGACATGGTCTGTATTGAAATGAAATAAAATTGGGTTTAACATCCTACTTTCTCCATCCAAACTGGGATCAAACTCAAGAGCTTCTGGTTAGTGACCTACCCCGGCTTCCGCTATCTAAATAATTTAATTTACTTACTGTACTATTCTCTTGGCCGGTCTTCATTAGCCCAGTTTGAGTGCAGAACAGTAGGAAGTTAAACCCCATTTCATTTCATTTCCATTTGTATAATAGTGACTATGGAGTATGCTCGTCGTCGTTAGCCCAGGTCGGAGCAGAACAGTAGCACGTTAAACCCCATTTCATTTCATTTCTGTCCTCTTGCCCTGCCTTCATTAGCCCAGTCGGTGCAAAACAGTAGGACGTTAAACATCATTTCATTTCTGTCCTCTTGCCCTGCCTTCATTAGCCCAGTCGGTGCAAAACAGTAGGACGTTAAACATCATTTCATTTCTGTTCTCTTGCCCTGTCTTCGTTTTTTATAAATAATTGAATTTACTTACTATCGTGTTGTTGATCGTTGCGTAAATCATTCTACCACAAACTTTCTGTTTGTTTATATTTCCAGTCTGATATGTTTCTTGTATATCTGACCTAATGAAACTAATCATATGATTACCTGGCTTCGTCTCTGTCACACAGTTCTCTCATCTTTCTGTCATCTCCGTGATAAAAATAGTCTATGTCTATATTTGGATGTTTTCTAGTAACTTTAGTCAAGAGAGAAATCACTGTCGTTTACCTATCTATGAACGCGATCTAACTATATCAACACGGCCATACATACATTGGTCTCTAACGATCCTGTTATGTTCACTCTCCCCCAGCTGTACGACAACATCCAGATATCAGCGGTTCTTATCTCAGATTTCATATTTGAAACATTGTTAACTTACGTGGAATAATTTTAAAAGTTGGTTGAAATATTTCTGTTACCGAGAGAGGTATTAATCAATTTCCAATATCAATGGCTTCTGACAGGATGGTTGATGGAAAGGGAATAGAAGCTCTATCAGTCATTTTCTCTATTTTTATTTGTGAGGTTGGATGGCCGAATGGTTAGCATGTACGCGCTGTATCATAAAGTCTGTCATTGAGTCAACTCATGTGGTTTTGATTTCCAGGTTGTACGTGACAAGAAGTAGGGTTGCCTGTCCAACCTTTTTGGTTTTTTCCAGGTCCTCCAGTTTCCTCCCACCTAGTTTGTGTGAGTTGACGCTCTCTCGCTCTCTCTCTCTCTCTCGCTCGCTCTCTCTCTCTCTCTCTCGCTCTCTCTCTCTCTCTCTCTCTCTCTCGCTCTTGCTCTCTCTCTCTCTCTCTCTCTCTCTCGCTCGCTCTCTCTCTCTCTCTCTCTCTCTCTCTCTCTCGCTTGCTCTCTCTCTCTCTCTCTCTCTCTCGCTCTTGCTCTCTCTCTCTCACCCCCCTCTCTCGCTCTCTCGCTCTCTCTCTCTCTCTTTTTATTTCTTTTTTTTTTTCACAAGTTTTGACCTCTCTGAACTTCATCAAGGGATTTTTTATAGGTTGAATCTCTAACAGTGATACAAGTGTAAAAATGGTTGAATTCCGTTCTGTATTTACAGAGATATGATGAATTGAAGATTTGTCATACAGCTGATATGTAGGATCCACTGGAATCTCTTGATGGGCCTCGTTTATACTCTGGAGTGGTTTCCCCTTGTCAGTGGTGCAGGATAGAGGGCCTGTCAAGGATAGCTGTCTAGTCAATTTGAGATTGGAGAAAATAGAACATGTGAAGAATCTATCAGAATTAGACTGAAAAATTGGAAATGATAGTCCTCATGAAGGTCACGGGAAAGGGTGTTGACTGCAGGGATGACAAGTCATTGTTTTTTGGATGGGATGAAAAATCGAAGTCCACCCTGGTACATCCTGTTAAAAAAAACCATGACTGTTCGATGAAGATATGCTAAAACCACTGCTATTTATTTATATGCCAATTATTAGGTCTAAATTCTCCTCCGACAGAAGATAAATCATGACATCTTGGTCTAAATTCTCCTCCGACAAAAAATAAATTACTGCATCTTGGTCTAAATTCTCCTCCGACAGAAAATAAATCACGGCATCTTGGTCTAAATTTTCCTCTGACAGAAAATAAATCACAGCATTTTGGTCTCAAAACAACCAATATATGGTGTTGACGGGTATTACTAAACTCCTTCCAACGTGGCTTCCCTTGTCAGTGGTGCAGGATGGAGGGCATGCACGTAAAAGATCCCTTGAGAGTTGGAATTCGATATAAGTGGGCCTTAGTGTCGCTGCCCGGGCAAAATTTCCCTCATAGCACACTGTATGGCGTAAGCTCGTCTTTATTAGCCCAGCGAGCCTGTTGATATTACGGAGAGAAAAAAGATTTTAACAGATAAGAAGCGTAACCAGGCAACCATAAGAGTCGTCAGTCTCTTCGATTTTACTCCCAGATTGTTGAACGGCTTGATGAATTGGATTCTGACAAGTCAGAAACCAAATTATACAAGTTTTATATCCGTGGAATGATTGCGTTGGTAATTTGGTTGTAAATCATTTCTTGAATAGATATTCGTATTGATTTATCAAACCTTGGATAAGTTTACGTGCGTAAATTGAGAACATTTCCGTTTAAATGAAACTAATTCGTTTTGAAGAGAATCTGTTTTGATTTGATTCTGGTACAGATTTTGTCATGATTGAGTGTCGTAAATAAAGGTTAAAAATATTAATTTGTTAGAACTTCTAACAGAACTCGACAGGCAAGAATAACTCTTTTTGATCACTTGTAGCACAATTCTGACAATTTGATTCAGTTAAGAGGTTTCTCTACCATAGTCTATGGTGTCACTGAACTTTGTGCCGTATGGGACACAGTGCTTGAGGTCGAAGAAACCTATCACAACACAACAATAAGATGGTCTCCAGACAGAAAAACAACATTTTCGGTCAATGCACGTGATCCAATGGAATGAACCTTTCTCCAAAAAGTGTTTCACATTCTAAAATTCATTGGCTGTTCGGGGTTTGCGGCTACACCAGGGCTGCCCCGACGCTGAAATTAAGTGTAATGGGGTAGCATGGACCGGGGCGTATCATAGGCCTGGTGACGATGGTCTACCACTTCAGGTTGTGTAGTTAAGCTAATTATGACTCATGTCTATACCCGTGTTACATCGGGTCAATCGCTAGTAAAAAATATTTATAGGTTTAATAGAATTTACTGGAGGATACATTGTAACAAATATTTACAGGTTTAATAGAATTCACTGGAGGATACATTGTAATTAATATCTGTAAAACACTAGAGGATATATATATAGCTATTTATTTAATTAGTCCACTAATTTCACTGGCATTAATCAAAATAATCCATACATCTTCTGATTTAACGGGGTTTGGGTGGCCGAATGGTTAACGCGTGCAAGTAGAATCATAAGGTCTGTCATTGAGTCAAGTGGCGTGGTTTCGATTCCCGGCTTGTAAGTGACAAGGAGTAAGATCGCCTGTCGAACTTTGTGGGTTTTCACTGATCTCTCCGTTTTCCTCCCATTGCAAAAGACCGCTACGCACAAGCGAATTATTGAAATAAAATTGAACTGTGTTAGTCCCAAAATGACCTAGTTTGTGTGTGTGTGTCTGTCTCTCTCTCTCTCTCTGTGTCTTTCGCTCTGTCTGTCTGTCTCTCTCTCTGGGGGGTGAGGGTGATGGCTGAATGGTTAGCGTGTGCACGCTGTATCATAAAGTCTGTCATTGAGTCAACTGGCGTGGTTTCAAATCCCCAGTTGTACGTGACAAGGAGTAGGGTTGCCTGTACAACCTCGTGGGTTTTTTTCTCCGGGTCCTCCGGTTTCCTCCCACTGCTAAAGACCCCTACGTGCAAGCGAATTATTGAATAAAATTAAACCATATGTTAGTCCTGAAATGACCTAGTTTGTGTCGAGTGGACGTTAAACTCCATTTCTCTGTCTCTCTCTCTCTGTCGCCTCTCTCCCCTCTCCCTCCCTTCCCCCCTCCCCCGGTTTAAGTCTGATAACCTGGATTAATTCACGGAGGAATTCTTTATGATTACAGAGACTTTTAAATCTGACGAAAAAAAACAGACACTTGGATTGAAAATAATTTGATGCGTTTACACAAGAATATATAATATGATCAATTTGTTACGGACACAAAAAACTGTTAAACAATCTCTGTTTTTGACAGCAGATAAACGATTTCTGTGAGATTAATGTGAAATTTTTTACCAGGAACACATTAAATATTTACACGTACACAACAAACTGACAATCAATAAATTGTTGTTGAGATTTATCCTGTTAACTAAAAGTTACAGAATGAAAAATCTATTTTAGGTAATGGCTGGAAAATAAGAAATGAACACGATACGTTGATAAATTATTAAAAGACATTTGACCACATTAACATCCCAATTTGATATTCAATTGGGGTCCTTGTCTTACATGCAAGCGAATTATTTAATAAAAATTGTATCATATGTTATATCCCAAATAAGTCTCTCTTTCTCAAATGGTAATGAATTTTTGTTCTTTTTTTTTTCTCAAATGACAAAATAAAAAGACCCAAAAAAGAAAAAACAAACGAATTAACAATGCAGTCCTTGAGTTTTTTGAGAATGATAAAATCGTGAAAATTTTTTTTTTTTTTCCCAATGACTGTAAACAAATAATACCCGTATTGGAATTTAAAATAAAAATATGATCAGTTTCAATAAATTACAATGAAAGTATTAAACTTCGTTAACGACTAAACATACATGTACTCACCTTGAGGACCGATAGGTTGTTACTGTTTATCTAATGAGAAAACTGGATAATCAAGTCAACCACCTTGTTGGCTACAAGCCCAGACGTTTATGCCAACTTACTGACAGACGCTATAAATATCAGTGTAAATACTGTACACATGCATTGCATGTCAAACCATGTATATAAGTCAAACATTTACTTGTTGAATGTTCCATCACGTTTACAGTTTTATCGCGGCAGTCCATCTGTTTTATAACATGATGATCTCTGCTTCTCGGTGTTTGATAAATATAATATCTCATGAATACTCAATTACGACTAGGAGACCATTATACGCTCTGTTCTATATAAATGTTTCCCATGACATTTATTCTCGTACCATTAACAATATTGTCTTGTTATTTATACATCGCCATCTTGTGTTATTTATTTTATGTGCAGTTCGCGTTTTACTCACCACCAACAGAGTTAAAGGGACCCAAGCAAACGCCCTAAACCTTAAAAAAGATATTGAAATATTTAAAAGTGATCTACTGGGCCCTTGCTTGGCAAGATATGAAATCTATACACTAAAGTAATTAAAGCAGCCCCCTTAATACATGATATATTTTTTTTTGGGGGGGGGGGCATTTGAAACAGGTAATTTTCTCAATAGACTTGTAGTCACGTCAGTTTATGGTCCTAGTAACCTTAACACAGCTTTACCCACAACGCGATCTAAATTTACATAATTTCATGATATACAATAGTTTTATTCAAATAAGAGTTGATTTATTTTTATTTCTATATAACCATTATCGTGTATGTTTCTGTAGTATTAGCATACGTACTTGCGAAATTGAAAAGAGAATAACAGATTTTTTTTATAAAAATTTACCAATTTTGTAAGCCTAAATTTAAGAGATGAACTACACATGGTAGGTATTGCTATTACAACTCAGGTATTGCCATTACAACAGGTATAAGTTAATTACAACAGGTATAAGTTAATTACAACTCAGGCATTTAATATTTGATTTGGAAAACAGACTAATTAATTACTGAGCACGGCTTGAAGGTAAATAGTTTAAAACCTTACACTCGTTATCTAATCTAGATGAACTAATTTAAACTATGTGACAGTAGGAACCTATTTTTTTTTGCAATGGTTTTCCAACAGTGGTTTGAAACTAAACATTAAAAACAGAAACTCCTGCTATAAAACAGCACAACTACACGATACCTGGGGCCTGTTTCACGGAATTTTAACTAAGATAAAATCCAAATTTTTGTAATTTGATTGGATAATATTAGATTGATTTTAGTGCTTAACCAATTAAAATTGAAGTATCTACTAGAATTTGGATTTTATCTTTAGTTAAGATTTCGAGAAACGCTGGCCCTGAGTTGTAGAGATTTGTAGATGGGGCACTCTGTGGAGAGGATTTCAAATGCCCTCCTTTTCATGAAACCTGTATCCCTATACAGTATAGTGCACGGGTAGGGTCATCTCTAGAATATTCTCTGGCTCTTTCAGTTTCCTCGCATTGCTAAAGACCCCTACGCACAAGAGAATTATTGAAATGAAATTGAACCATGTGTTAGTCCCGAAATTAACTAGTTTGTGTCGAGTAGAGATGTGTGAAATACTAAGAGACTGTATTTTAGCCATGTGACTTTTAAAATTTGAAAGTTAGAAGTGTAGGTAAATATGACCAGTTCTCTCTCTCTCTCTCTCTCTCTCTCTACCTCTCTCTCTCTCTCCCTCTCTCTCTCTCTCCCTCTCTCTCTCTCTCTCTATCTGATAGTACTTATATTATTTATTACAGGTTTTTACTATTTACTTGTTGTGTTTGATGCGTTCTCCTACCATTAGGGGCCTAATAAACTAAATAGATAAGCTAATAATATTAAACAAAAATATCTAAGGTCCAAAAAATATTGATTTCTGAAAGAAAGAATTTTGATATATATGATGTTATTTGATATTGAGTTAAAAGCAGTTTTATATTCTAATCCCTCAGATGTTTTTCTTTGGATGAATATTTTGTTTGTAATTTGCATTAATTAAGGAGGTTGGCGTTCATTGACATCTTTCTCAATTACATGTAGAATATTATCAAAGATAACATTATAGACGGGGCCTTTCTTGTTAAAATATATAGACAATACAAAAGGAATATATTGAAAATTTCAGTCCTATTAATTTCGGTCAAAGTACTTTATTCTGAGCAAAGATATCATTGAGCAAAGATAGTCTCGATTGTCAAGTACCATTGCTATGATAATAAACAAAGTCTTGAATTTATCATTAAATTATTAAATGGCGTGGCTGTTCCAATCCATTTAATATCATAGCCTTCTGATGATCTAGCGGGTCGTTTATGGGCTTAAAGTGTCTAAACATTGATATATACTGTATAACATTTGAAGCCAGTTTAAAAACCTGACATATGCAGATTTAGCTTTTACATAATGCAATTTTAAAAGAAAAACATATGGATATATCCTGCTTTAATGTTTATAAAAACATTCAACATAAAGGGCACCTGTCCACAGACAGGGCACCTGTCCACAGACACACCAATTATTACAGGCACAATCTGAATAAAACACAGATCCTATTTCGTTTCGTTTTTCTAGTTTAAAATTTCGTTTTACTTGTCTTTATTACACTAGGATCTGGAAGAATTGTTATCATTGACATGTTCTGAATGGTGTGAGGGATTAGCCAATGAAACGGTCTGTTACTGCGAGCTTTAGGCGTGTTTTGCACAGAACTGTGGGTATTGCACTAGTAACATCATTGCTGATTGGTTAATCATGGTACCTAGCAAAGTCTGTGACAGGTGTCAGGTTGCCTTATGATAGGCTTGAAAACATCCTATCATGGCAAAATCCACCCCTCGTCCGACCTCCATTCCTCCAAAATCCACCCAACGTCCGACCTCCATCCCTCCAAAATCCACATCTTAACCTCTATTACATTCAATTAATATGAGCCACCAGGGCTCAGTGAATACAGCGCAGACTCACTAACTAGGAAGTCCCAAGTTCAATCCTACATGTAGTGTTGACCCTGTCTCCCTCGTCAGTGGTGTAAGATGGAGGACCAGGCAAGGGACAGAGTCTAGTCAGTCGGATGGTACAAAAATAACCAGTTTCTGAGAGAGATTAATGTGCTCAACACAAACTATGTCATTTCAGGACTAACACATGGTTCTATTTTATTTCAATAATCAGCTTGTGCGTAGGGATCTTTAGCAGTGGGAGGAAATTGGTGGGCCTGGAGAAAACCCACAAGGTTGGACAGGAGGCGACCCTACTTTTTGTCACGTAAAAGAACCTAGACTGATGAAGGGTAAAGGGAAAAGACGATGTTTGGGAACAATTTATCTGTATGCCTATAGGACATTAAATTGTATTTTATTTTATTACCTGAACGTTGTCGATCTGAGTTGAAGCAGACAAATAGAACTATTATATCAATAAACATGTTTTTATTTATTGATGTAGGGTTTACAGATCTGTATAATTTAAAACATCACCTGTTTCTATAGAAATATATCAACTAATATCAACTAATTTAATAAAAAAAACCCTGTTTATTATATAACTACATATTTAATTCATCAATACAGTTCGTACAGTAAGAGATAGACATATGAGTTTATCCGATGCAGTACTGAGTAATTCATAAACACAGTGTGTACAATGGGGAGAGAGGGGGAGAAGAGTGGGAGAGAGGGGGAGAGAAGGGGGAGAAGAGTGGGAGAGAAGGGGGAGAAGAGTGGGAGAGTGGGGGGGAGAAGAGTGGGAGAGAGGGGGGAGGAAAGAGAGAGGAGAGGAGAGAGAGAGAGGAGAGAGAGAGAGAAAGAAAGAGAGAGAGAGAGTTTAAGTCTACTTGACACAAACTACGTCATTTCGGGACTAACACATGGTTTAATTTTATTTCAATAATTCGCTTGCACGTAGGGGTCTTTGGTCGTGGGAGGTAGCCGGAGGACCAAGAGACAACCCACGAGGTTGGACAGGCGACCCTACTCCTTGTCACGTACAACCGGGGAATCAGGGTGCGTTGATCCCCCCCCCCCCCAAACCAGAGATGGCTACGGTTTGTTTATTCTACCTGTCTGTCTGTTCCGGGTTGCCGGCTGCAGGAGAGACAGAGACAGAGAGAGAGAGAGAGAGAGAGAGAGAGACCCCAAGGTAAAGTTGTATAGCTTAACTAACTTATAGTACAACAAGTTTATTTCAATGATTATGTCATTATAGCTTTGTTGATGCAGAATAGATTAAAATATGTCCATTTTATATTCTGTGGATTGTAAATTGAGAGGAGTTTTTTCTTGATTATAAAACATCAAGTGAAATGGTTGTCTGTTTGAACTTTCTGAAGGAGGGACAAGTAGCATCAGGTGGTCTAGAGATAAGTGGTATCAGGTGGTCTAGAGACATGTGGTATCAGATGGTCTAGATACAAGTGGTATCAGGTGGTCTAGAGAAAAGTGTTATCAGATGGTCTAGAGACAAGTAGCATCAGGTGGTCTAGAGACAAGTGGTATCACATGTTCTATATAGTTGGCATAACCTGCCTTGAGTATGACACCTGTCAAGTTGTAAGATTTCCAAATCAGAAAAGAATATGTACACTTTCCATTTTTGTGTGTAACACCCTTGTCTTTGTATAACAGATTAACACCCACTTTTGTGCCTTCTGTTGTGAATAACAGATTGACACTCTCTACTGTGTATAACACCCCATTTTGTGTATGGATATAACGTCACACTTTGTGTCGGAAATATAGTAATATATCAATAAAAAAAAAAAAACCAGAAAAAAAAGTCAAATCTGTTTGATGACAGATGTAAAGGGGGGCTTATGTCGACCTTGCAACTGAAAGCAACTGCCGTTTCGACAACTGGGGGCAACTGAAAAAAGTCGACCTGAGTGCCTCATACAACTCAAAGCAACTAGTTGCAGTCAGTTGCAACTTTCTGCAACTTTCTGCAACTGACTGCAACTAGCGGTAACTAGCTTCAGTCCACATGAGCATTGTTGCAACTGGAAATAATATCACGTGATAAGAAACATGTGTCATGTGACTTTATAAATAAGCAAATGGAAGCGAACGAAGACACACACTTTTCAAATGATGATGTTGACAAAAATATACTAATAGAATTGTAGAAAGACCGACCGTGCCTTTGGGTTGCTTCTTCTGAGTTATTCACCATTTTGTTAATCACGTGATGAATAAATTAACAGTCACATGTTAAGTATGATCGCTATCAGTTCCGAGTTGACATAAGCGCCCAGAATTCAGTTGCTGCCAGTTGCTGATATGATCGACTTAAGCAACCTTGCAACTGACTGCGACTAGTTGCTCTGAGTTTCAAAGTTGACATAAACCCCGCTTAATGTTCTAGAGTCTACAAGCCTTCCTAATTCTTAAGTCCTTTATTATCTTTGCATTACAAAACCGATGGATAGGTGACTGGGGTAAAAAGTCTTTGGGGGGGGGGGGGATCCAAATTCCTTAAACTGAACAGAGATAGCATGCGGTTCCTAGAATACCAATGACCATTTAAATCTCTAAAACAATAATTAATTTAAAACCAATACAACAGGTTACAGACAACAATTACGTAATAACAACACGAGTGATATGAAGAAGGGCCAGTGTGTGTGTGATACAGTGTGATAGATAAATTACTTCCTTCCTTGTCTTATTACACTGATTATAGATGAATTAAAGCAGTTGTTAGACGGTAACCTCGGGGTAAATGGACATCTGCCAACTTGTTGAGATAGAAATTGATTATTGTTCAAGTTGGAGTGTAATAATAACAATTAATTCAAGATTACGTTTTAACTCTCTACACTGTCTCGTTCACAAATATTTCTTTTTAAATTCTTTTTAAAGCTTTATTTTGAGCCACAATGGAAGACATATATCACTGTAACCCAGGTATCATTTAATCTTGTGTATCTAGCACTAATTTCTTTTACATTTTAAAAGGGGGGGGGGGGGGTGGATGGCTGAATGGTTAGCACACTGTTGTATCATAAAGTCTGTCATTGACTCGACTGTCGTGGTTTCGAATCCCCAGTTGTACGTGACAAGGAGTAGGGTCGCCTGTCCAACCTCATGGGTTTTCTCCGGGTCCTCCGGTTTCCTCCCACTGCTAAAGACCCCTATGCGCAAGCAAATTATTGAAATAAAATTAAACCATGTGTTAGTCCCAAAATGTCCTAGTTTGTGTCGAGTGGACGTTAGCCCCCATTTCTCTCCCTATCTCTTTTACATTTTAAACTCCTCAAAAGCTGTATGGAAGACATATATAAATAAAATGAAATGGGGTTTAACGTCCACTCGACACAAACTAGGGTTTAACGTCCTACTGTTCTGCTCCTACTGGGCTAATGAAGACAGGCTTACACCATACAGTGTGTTATAAGGACATTTTGCATGGACAGCGGTGCTACTGTCAACTGCAGTGGTTCTCAACCTTTTTTTGCCAACGGCACACCTTGGAACACTTGAAAAAATTATCGGCACACCTGGCTAAATATATATGAAAAATATTTAAATTTTGCAAAATAAATACATGGCAAGATATAGACGACATACACCCGTAGACACAGACTAGTCATAGGCACATAAAGTGACTCAAACTAAATAAAGAAAAACACAGCTATGACCTTATCAGTAGGAACCAATGAATACTCAGTTGGGATCACATGGTTTTTTTCATTTTCTTAGTGTGCCGTCCAAAATTTCGCGGCACACTGGTTGAGAATCACGGGTCTACTCTTATATCGAATTCCAACTGTCAAGGGTTCTTTTACATGCATGCCAATATGTATAAAGGACCATGGTTTATGGCCCATCCGAACGACTAGACACTTTCTTGTCGGGGCCCTCCTTCCTGGGCATCAGACATGGGGAAACCACTTCAGAACATCCTTAGGAATTTTCTCAGCCAACCTCCTGGTTAACAAGCCAGCATCTTACTCATTGATCCACTGTAGCTCTCAAGATATCTATATATATAGAGAGAAATGGGGTTTAACATCCACCCAACATAAACTAGGTCATTTCGGGACTAACACATGATTCAATTTTATTTCATTAATTCACTTGGGCGTTGGGGTCTTTAGCAGTGGGAGGAAACCGGAGGACCTTAAAAAAACCCATGAGGTTTGACAGGCAACGCTACTCCTTGTCACGTACAAGCGGGGAATCGAAACCCCGCCTCTTGACTCAAGGCATATATAATAATCAATACAGTAGTTCGACCTCAGTTGATTTAATTATACTGTGTAAAAAAAAAAAAAAATATGTAAATAAATAATACAACTGTGGATCAATATACTAATTTGGTTAAAACACTTTGGTTGTTAAAAGCTTTTGAGCAGAGTGTTTTCATAAAAAAAATTTAAATAAAAGAGAAGCAACATGATATATTAATTGTTGGTTGCTATAAAATCAATTCTGTATGAAAACAGGGATTCAGATACATACAGGATTGATGTGGCGTGACTAGAGCCCCATACACAAGGATCAACGCCAAACTGTGTTCCTCTTAAACCGCTAAAATGGTGCAAAGGTTGAGGGAGAAAATTGAGGTTGTGCAGGCTGAGGTTTTTATACGAGTGTAATTTAATAACCTGTGTTAACCTGTGGTAACCTGTGGTAACCTGTGGTAACCTGTGTAACCTGTGGTAACCTGTGTAACCTGTGTTAACCTGTGGTAACCTGTGGTAACCTGTGGTAACCTGTGTTACATGATTATCAGATAAAAAGAAATTGTTTTCAGAACATTAGTTTTGACTTGAATCTCGAGTGTATTGAGTGAAATCTTTAATTACTGATTTACAATCTCCCCATTAATGATTTCTGCTCTGGAATAACAAAATTACCTCATTTATAATGAGTTCCCCTTCTTTTATACTGATATGTCCCCTTTAATAAAGAGTTTTTCCCATTGATAATGAGTTCTACCCCTTTAATATTGAATTCAGGCTTTAATAACAAGTTTTTCCCTTTAATAATGAGTTCATGAGCCCCCTTTTAATAATGAGCCCTCCCTTTTTAATAATGAGCCCCCCCTTTAATAACTATATACCCCTTTTAATAATGAGCCCTCCCTTTAATAACTATATACCCCTTTTAATAATGAGACCTCCCTTAATAACTGTATACCCCTTTTAATAATGAGCCCCCCCTTTAATAACTATATACCCCTTTTAATAATGAGCCCTCCCTTTAATAACTATATACCCCTTATAAAAATGAGCCCTCCCTTTAATAACTATATACCCCTTTTAATAATGAGACCTGCCTTTAATAACTATATACCCCTTTTAATAATGAGCCCTCCCTTTAAATAATGAGCCCTCCCTTTAATAACGAATTACCCCCTCTTTTTTTATTGAGGTTCCCCCTTTAATTATGAGGTTCGAATTTAATAATGAGTTCCCCCCTTTAATAATGATTCCCACTCCTCTCTTTGATAATGAGTTTTCTCCTTTAATACAAGTTCTCCTTCAATAATGAGTTCCCCTTTAAACTAGTATCCAATGTAAATAAACATGAAATGTAATAAAATATCATAATGAGATATTGAAGGATCAGAATTAGAAATCGATCAAAACACAGCCACTTTATATGTCTGATCGTAAATCGTGTTAAATAAAATCTATTCTTACAAATGATAATTAATACAACCTTATTTTTACATTTCTATAACCAGTTAAACTTGTATCAATACAAAATAGAATATTCCTGCTTACCTGAACACCCCTATTTTTGTCAATGAGAATGACCTGAAGCTGAATACAAACATTAAATCTATAGGTGATTCCATGACGGTGTGGGTAGGTGCAGGTTGATTCTATCTTTAAATCTGTATTGGTAAAAATATTCCTTGTAATTCCTATTGGTGAGTCTGACTGGACAAGTTACTGATGTTGGTTGTGTGTAATATGAATTGATGTGAGGTTTGAACTGTGATATATAGAATTTACTGGTGTATATTGGACCGTGGTCTATTGGTATATCAATGATTGACTGGTTTAACTGAGGTAGTAGTATAATAGGTGGGGGGCTGTTATTGTTGTTTAAGTCTTTATTAAATATGGAATAAATCTGAGAGACAGAGAGTTTTTACTACTACTATAAATACAGCAGTACAAACGGCAGTGAACTTGACTGTCGTTCTGAAGGTTAAAGCCAACAGACACAAAGGGTGCAATACTATAATCTACTGCTGAAGGCTGTTACGTACGGGTGTGTGTGTGTTTTACCTTAAGACCGTCTGCTTCTTCTACCTTCGTCTTGTGTTCATGTCAAATTATAGATAAAAACAGTCGCCACTTCAGCAAATAAACCGACAAAATGTTGTCCAAGAAAATGTTCAGTTTCCGGAGCAATAACAATTCATCTACGGAGAATTTTGATAAGTTTAATTCCGGAGAGAAAATGGCTAATTTAGAGGATGGCGGGGAGGAAGCGTACCGTGCCCGAGCGGGACGTAAGCGTCATTCAGTGCAACTAGATAAGAGAATTACTCAGCAGTTAATGGGCAGTATTGACCGACGGTCTAGTAATGCTAGTACCGGTACCGTCGACTCACTGTGTAAGTATATATATATACATATATTTATATGACAATGACATTATATCTGATGAGCTCCCCAGGTGAGCAAAAAATATTTTAAAAATGTTACTAAATCAGATTGTGTCGGCATACCTTTTATCTTTTCATCGTTTACCGTGAAACAAAGTAGTGCAGCTTTACGGCTATGCTGATATTTTCAGATATATATATAAATGCGCCAGATTTTAAATTAAAAGGATGTCATTGTGGCACAGTGGAGTTTATCATTTTCTTTCGTTTTATCTGTCTTATAAATACTTCGTTATGATCTCACCTATGATTGGTCCCAATTTAACTCGTAATATGAAATCGTGTCAAAACAACGATCTCTGAAGTAATAATTCCTGTCTGTAAGTCCATCACGACAAATAAAAACTTAATAAATCAATAAGCTAATTACTAAACATAAGCTTCTGGTTTAAAGTGGGATATCATTGAGTCAATTGGCATGGTTTCGATTCCTCGGTTGTGCAACTTCGTGAGTTTTCTCCAGATCCTCCGGTTCACTCCTACGCGCAAGTAAATTATTGAAATAAAATTGAACCATATGTTAGTCCCAACCAAAATGACCTAGTTTGTGTCGAAGGACGTTAAACCCCATTTCTCTCTCTATATATATATATAGAAATGGGAAATGAGGTTTTAATTATAACGTCGTAGTTTTCTGTGCTGTGCAACCAGACAAATGAAGGCCGATAGGAAAGTGATTAAAGTAGGTGAATATTAATAGATTTCTATTTCCTTTTGTAATTCATGGGTGGAGAAAATTATTTCATATTGAATTAATTTATTTCAGTTGGGACTAAATGTAACGTAATGTGGAATGTTCATTAATTGATTTCAGTTTCCTTTCAACAGTTTAGAAAATCATTTCGACATTAAATTAATTTATTTTAAATGGACTAAACCCTTTAACACCTAAATAGGGGCCCATTAGACCGCATGCTCAGTGGTGGAGTCCCTTAGATCACCCCAAACTGCCTAGTCACGTGTCCAGGGGCGGTGTCCCCCATGAACTAGTAATGGTTCATATCACATAATACAGAAAGCTTTTCACTCATCTCAGGCATGCCGGCCAACCTCGTGGGTTTTCTCCGGGTCCTCCGGTTTCCTCCAACTGCTAAAGCCCCCTACGCACAAGCAAATTATTGAAATAAAATTGAACCATATGTTAGTCCAGAAATGACCTAGTCTGTGTCGAGTGGATGTTAAACCTCATTTCTCTCTCAGTTTCTCTCTCAAGCCTGTCTTGGATTGTGCAACACACAGGTCTTTAGTTGTGGGAGGAAACCAGAAGTCCCGGAGAAAACCCACGAGGTTGGACAGGCAACTCTACTCCTTGTCACGTACAACCGGGGAATCGAAACCACGCCACTTGATTCAATGACAGACCTTATGATCTAACCTGTATGTTTTAAAGCGACATTAAAGGAGCTAAATCGCTAATATTTTGGATCTAGAAATTGACACAAATGGGTCCCAACGTATATAATAATGTAATATGAATGTATATAAACTGATTTACATTCATTCGTTTCTGTTTTTACTGCAATTTCTAATCAGTTATGTTCGGGGAAATACGCCAGAAGTCTCAATCCAATGGCAATCCCTAGCGTCTGGTTATTCCACTCTATACCAATAGTATTTATTGCGCATGCTCTCCAGATATGAATATGACGTCACCGTTTGACATGACTTGTGGAGTATATCTAGCCTCTTTCTACGAGTCCCTTGTTAAAAATGGCGCTGAAATGCACCATGGTACACGATTTGTGTACCAACGGTAAAATGTTTATTTTGTCTTAATTATTGGATATCAGAAGCCCATCTTTTCCCCGTAAGATCACAACATCAATTTTGATTTAAATTGACAAATAATTTGTGTTTTCAATGTTGAAGATTTTGGATGATATTGAGTTAGAGACTTGGTTACTTTAAGATAATATCGTCATTATAACCGTTGGTACGATAATAAACAAAGTTAAATCATCCATCAAATAACGTAATTAAATCCACTAAATATCGTAAGCTAACGATGACATCGAGAGTTGATTATGGTCTTGATAAGTTAATTAATGTCTAATTAATAATTTAGATAACATATCAGGCCTAAAGAAAGACCAGCAGTAGGCAGATTTAGTTCTTGCATAATGCATGTTTAAAAATTCGCGCCTTCCCCACCATTTCCTGAAGGTTTGAGGGGTTAATATAGATGTTGTCAATGGTTACTGCGGGTAACTAGTTAGTTTAGTTGTGAAGGTTTGAGGGGTTAGTTAATATAGATGTTGTCGATAGTTACTGAAGGTAACTAGTTAGTTTAGTCGTAGGTAATATTTGTGTAGTTAATACAAGACAAACTAGGTTGGTATTTGACTGTAACGATATGACAGTGTCTAAAACACTCCACGTGTGACTTAATGTCAATAATCCCACAATCCCACTGTCTGACGTACAGGTGACAATATAACACTTGACTGACGTCCGCAACTTTTACCCACGTCTTTAACTCTTTACTTAATCTCCTTGTTTGGAGTACATGTAACAGTATCCCAAATCAAATGGTGGTGGCTTTAAAGCTCACCAGAAAAGCTTCATAATTTTTTTTAAATGATACAAGTAATTATGTCAACATATCATTTCCATAAGTATACCACGAACCCCAATGTCAATATTGTCTGCCACAGGTAAATTTCAACAATGGCGATTTTCACCGTTCTCCGTGAGTGCTCATAACTTTCTGCCAATAAAAAATCTGTGACGTCATTTTAGTCCTTCTGCTCATAGAAAGATAGACTAGAATATCAGCAGAAGGGATAAAATGAAGGAAAGTTAGAATTACCTGCAGAGGTAATTTACCTGTGGCAGGTAACATTGACATTCGGGATCGTGTTGACATAATTACTTGCATTATTTTTAAAAAATTTTGAAGCTTTGTATAATATCCTAGTATTCTACTCTGATTGTGTATTACGCCATACAGTGAGCTCGCTATTGGGGTAACCTTACTCAGACATCAGCGCTGCAGTCTTATTTCAAATTCCAACTGTCAAGGGTTCTTTTATGTGCATGCCAATATGTACCTGGGACCATATGTTAGTCCTGAAATGACCTAGTTTGTGTCAAGTGGACTATAAACCCCATCTCTCTCTGTTTTTTTCTTTCCACGTTAATTAACATTTTATTTACCCTTGAACATTTAGTGACTTGGTTTGGTCGAATTTGAGGGGGGCTTTTACTTGTTTATAATTATTTTTTTTTATGGTCCTTCTATCCAGCCTCGTCCTTCTATCCAGCCGTGTGGGTTTTCTCCGGGTCCTCCAGTTTCCTCCCACTGCTAAAGACCCATACGCACAAGTGAATTATTGAAATAAAATTTGAACCTATGTTAGTCCTGAAATGACCTAGTTTGTGTGGAGTGGACATAAATCTCTCTCTCTCTCTCTCTCTCTCTCTCTCCTCTCTCTATCTCTCTCCTCTCTCTCTCTCTCTCTCTCTCGCTCTCAATCCCCTCTCTGTGTCTTCCCCACATCCCTCTCTCTCTCTCTCTCCTCTCTCTCTATCTCTCTCCTCTCTCTCTCCCTCTCTCTATCTCTCTCTCCTCTCTCTCTCCCTCTCTCTATCTCTCTCTCCTCTTTCTCTCTATTTCTCTCTCTCTCTCTCTCTCTCTCTCTCTCTCTCTCTCTCTCCTCTCTCTCTCTATCTCTCTCTCTCCTCTCTCTCTCTCTCTCGCTCTCTCTCTCTCTCTCGCTCTCAATCCCCTCTCTGTGTCTTCCCCACATCCCTCTCTCTCTCTCTCTCTCTCTCCTCTCTCTCTATCTCTCTCCTCTCTCTCTCCTCTCTCTCTATCTCTCTCTCCTCTCTCTCTCCCTCTCTCTATCTCTCTCTTCTCTCTCTCTCTATTTCTCTCTCCCTCTCTCTCTCTCCTCTCTCCTCTCTCTCGCTCTATCTCTCCCACCCCTCTCTCTCTCTCTCTCTCCCCTCTCTCTCTCAATCCCCTCTCTCAATCCTCTCTCTCTCTCTCTCTCCTCTCTCTCTATCTCTCTCTATCTCTCTCCTCTCTCTCTCCTCTCTCTCTATCTCTCTCTCCTCTCTCTCTCCCTCTCTCTATCTCTCTCTTCTCTCTCTCTCTATTTCTCTCTCTCTCTCCTCTCTCCTCTCTCTCGCTCTATCTCTCCCACCCCTCTCTCTCTCTCTCTCTCTCCCCTCTCTCTCAATCCCCTCTCTCTCTCTCTCTCTCTCTCTCTCTCTCTCTCTCTCTCTCTCTCTCTCTCTCTTCTCTCTCTCTCTATTTCTCTCTCCCTCTCTCTCTCTCCTCTCTCCTCTCTCTCGCTCTATCTCTCCCACCCCTCTCTCTCTCTCTCTCTCCCCTCTCTCTCTCAATCCCCTCTCTCAATCCTCTCTCTCTCTCTCTCTCTCTCTCTCTCCTCTCTCCTCTCTCTCGCTCTATCTCTCCCACCCCTCTCTCTCTCTCTCTCTCCCCTCTCTCTCTCTCAATCCCCTCTCTCAATCCTCTCTCTCTCTCTCTCTCCTCTCTCTCTCCCTCTCTCTCTATCTCTCTATCTCTCCCACCCCTCTCTCTCTCTCTCTCTCTCTCTCTCTCTCTCTCTCGCTCTATCTCTCCCACCCCTCTCTCTCTCTCTCTCTCCCCTCTCTCTCTCAATCCCCTCTCTCAATCCTCTCTCTCTCTCTCTCCTCTCTCTCTCTCTCTCTCTCTCTCTCTCTCTGCAGCATAACATACATAAAGATGAAATACTACCTTTAATACCCTACTGTTTGTAATAGTCGTGATCAATAGATGTAATAGTCGTGATCAATAGATGTAATAGTCGTGATCAATAGATGTAATAGTCGTGATCAATAGATGTAATAGTAGTGATCAATAGATGTAATAGTCGTGATCAATAGATGTAATAGTCGTGATCAATAGATGTAATAGTTGTCATTTTATGTATTTAAGGTTAGAATTAAGTTTAAGTCAA